TTGACTATAATTTCTCTGTGAATTCTGAACTGTGAAAATAATGCGAGAAATTATGTGCTGTTGTAGCATCTCGAGCTTTTATTAACGACAATCAATCTTTCAGAATAAATATCTGAACTCCTGCGAAAATTGTGTTCATATTCACACATAAAACACTCAGTAATACTGAATGTCTTTTCCGAAATACTTTATTGAAAAATGTTATATAATTTTAAACAAGGTATTCTGGGTACACCATACCAAGTTCAATTTTCCTGCACAAAAATGTAGACTCAAGCCGACACTTCGCCCGAATATTTCCAGGTGAGGTCTTCATCACATCAGCTTCACGATTTACGTAAATAACCTGGTGTCTGCGCAACGTACAATATCCAGTTTTATGCCATTTCATGCCATAAAGGACATATTGCTAGTGTCACTCCAAAAGGTGGGGAGCCCCTGGGACGTCTGCTTCTCAGACGGCAATGATACATATTACAAAATACAGAATTACTACTTTTCTATATCAACGAAATTCTTTTATTACATCAATTGTTTATGTGATACATATTAATTATACGTCAACAAATACAAATACGTTTTATATTCAATATAAATGAATAATTCTTTATAAGAAAACATCGAGGCGGTTAAATACTATACCTCATCACACACACACACACACACATCTTAGAAAAAATCTAGTGGCGCTCTGCATGTCATTTTTATTTCATAATGTATTGCATTTTTATATTCTGTCACAGTTGTGTTTCTTAAATACGATAAAAAGCGCTTCCCGCCCGAAAATTGGACTAGTGCGCACACTACAAGAGGAGTTGAATGCTTATATTTGCGCCTCTGTATCGGCCGCATATAGTTTTATGTGTGTAAAGATAGAGTGGTTCTCCGCCTCTCAGATGCATGGCACATTTCAGAAGGAGCTTATGACAGTGAATAGAAACTTGTGTATGGTGACAGTGAGTAGAAGTGAATAGTGAACGGATTCCATTAGAAGCTTTGTGTCAATATCTTTAGAATTTTTTCCCTTTTTTCAGAAATATTTATCAATTTAGCAAAAAAATATATAAATATTTTTTTGAACTTATAAATGTGGATTACTTATGTTGTTTCTGAAATAACACCCATTTAAACAAAAAACTTAAAGCAAATCTAGGAATGCGTTTTTCATTTAGCGATAACACCGAAAGCTTTCAAATCATTTATTGTGTGGCTTTAGTTGTAAGAATATATTTTAATTAAATCATTGTTACATTTTGCCACTAAATTATACAATTAACTACTCCGACACTGCCGAGCTGTGTAATTCTTCAAAGAATACTTCTTACTCTTTAGAGATGTACTGGATTACCTTTACAACGACATCAATGTTTTTACTCTCTCGCCTTACATACTTACTTTCGTCTATCTGTATTTCAGTCAGTGTTCAACGCTAGCGGCTAAACCGTTCCAACAATTTTCTCAAAATTAATATTCTCTTGTATTTCTGTACAAACGCGTTGCCCTACAATATTGAAACGGATATTTTAATTTTGGGTGGTATTTTACATGAAGTCTTAACATGTTCAATATTTTATTAAAAATGGATCTAAATTATTTTAATTAAACCTTGCCTTTAGATAGCGTACAAAATGCCTAAAATATTGGGTAGGAATAATTTTCCTTTAAAACTCTGAAGTTTTGAAAATTGCAAAAGTTTAATCTTTTCGGCCATCTTTCTACAAACACAATGTTGAAGATAGAGACTTTTTCTAAATAAATTCTGCTCTTTTAAGACGTTAAAATGAGGTAATGTAGTAATTGTTTTTGAATATTAATGCTATCGATATTAATGTAACCAATAACGTCACGCGTCGTAGGCTAATCAAATAATTTTAACTATTTTTTTTCTGTAAAGTGACAAAATGTTCAGAGAGCAATAGAATCGCAAACGCTGCAAAATAGCTCGTTCGATACGTTTATAAAGGAAGATTTAGAGAAAAATTAGAAATTATTTAAAAGTTTCATTTTCATTATTAAAAACTATTTTACGCAACTATATCCACAGCAATAGTTTGTTTCACTGCCGCATCTAAACCCAGTTTTCTGTTTTCTCTGTCGGTGCATGAATACTCTAAGAAATAGCCCAGTGTCATGCTTCAATTCAAGCAGCTTTTCTCACAGTTAGTTGTGTTCTGCAATCCCATATGTGAGTGATCTAATAAGAACATTTTAAAATTAAAATAGTAATTTAATAATAAATATTATATATAATTATTATAATAATATAAGTTCTTATGTAACCTTGAAAATAGGTTCGATACTAGTTTTACAACTGAGATATTAGATTCACAGGGTAATTCAATGTGACGATTCAATTTAATAAAACTCTGGTATATATTTCAAAGGACGGCAAATGTATGGTACGTGTTATATCTCAAAATAATTGCTCGAGGAATTCGATGTAGTTTCTCAATCTGATACAAGTCTCATATTTTATGATATAAGACAGAAGTAATCTGCGACATCGTCTGTGTGATACAAACGCACAACGTAATTACAGTCTGATATAAAGTTCGTATCCTGTATGAAAGTATTAATGTGTGACAAAAACTCGGACGATACTGCGATAACACGTATGTTAAACCAAGACCCGATGTAGACTTTAACGCATAGCAAAGAAAGGTAATAAATGTTTTAGAAGTATTTTAATTTTGTGGAATAGTGGAGATGCTTTGTCTCCTTTAAGGCCACTAGATTTTACTCATTTTGAGAGAACACATTATTTTAAATTAACGCATGTTTCTTGTAAATACCCTTAAAACAATACAATTCTTTTCTTATACGGATCAGAACTTCAGCTGAAAAGGCAAATTAGAAAGTATATTACATATGACTTTGCCCTTCAGCAATTATTTGCCTAAGAACGTCGATTGTATAAATAGAAATACTGTGGATAGTCTGTAAAAAAAGAATTGATTCATTTTTTGCGTTCATTAGTGAAGAAGTCAGTAGTTGCTTTTTAGAACGTAAGTTGAGGCCATTAAGAGAAACAAGATGGTTTTATGATTTTGTATCTATAACTCCCAAATTTTGTTGATAATTGTGAAAGAAAACAAACATTAGCATTTCCAACTTTCTTTCGTAAATACACTTTCATGTTGATTATTACAAATTTAAAATTATTCTCATGATGACCTTAGTCAAAGGAAAAACCGGTGTGTCCATTATTATTTCTTTTTCAATGTAACGTTTTAACCCTAATCTCAGAACTTCTGAGTATAATTCAACGTGAAGATATTCACCCGTGTCGCTTGTAAGTTTCACCTTATTAAACCATTTTCATGGCATGGAAAAATATTTAACGTGATGGATGGATGGGTGAATGAATGAATGGATGATCAGGTATTTTCCAGTATGAAAGTGTTGCTGAAGGTTTTAGATTGACACTGGCAGACGTTTGTCACGCTCAAGGTAATGGTGTTATTTGCGCTCCGATTTCATCAGTTCACTAACGTGCTTTGTATCCGACTTTGTAACTACTTCGTGCTTTGTATCCGAAGCCACTAAATATTCTCTTCAGCAATCACGAAAAAGTCGATGAAGAGTTTAATAAGCAAAGATGATGAATAGCAAAGTATGCTCGTACTAATTGCGTTAGTTTCTATCTAGAGAAAATGCTAGACGTTTTTCTGGATATCCCAGTGGCACACGTTCTCAACTTATGTAAACATGAACGTGAAAGCTTGCATGCAGCAAACTTTCACGATCACTTCTTATGTTTATGTTCTCGTTTACGTTTACACTCCCCATTCAGACTGGTTCCATCGAAAAAACAACTATACAATTACAGTTACAATTAACTGATTCTGCACAATTAGAAACTATTCTTAGCATCAAAAACTGAAATAATATTGGTTTTAAGAATTATAAATAATGTATTACTTACCATATGGAAAATTTTACTATATATTTCTAAAATAATAAATATGCCAGTAACAATTATGTCTCAGCTTTTGGGCCAAAGATTCCCATCCCGATCAGACTTTATGTCCAATTTCCCTGATCCCTTTTGAGTAAATGATTAGATGGCCCCTTGTTTTGCGTCCGAATAAAAATGTAGCATCACTTTCGGTGCACGCTTTCTTGAGCTCTATAGGGAATGTAGATATTCAAACAGTTGTTCTCCATTTTCTCAACGTAAGTTGATGTCTTTTCATAGAACACAAGGAATGATAGCCGAAATTCGTAACAGATTTTTTTACAAATAGTTTTTATAACACCGGTGTGAATATTTTCATACTAATGGTAGCCAAAACCACTCATTGCTATCTCAATTCATTACTCACCTTAATATGAATGAGTTAGGACAGAGATCTCAGTGCTCAAGAAACAGTGCAAAGATTGCACTTCTCCCCGATAGCACGAGACACAGCGTTTAAGTATTTTACGTTAAATATATCAAGAAAGAAATAAAAACTTGTCGCCAAACTTTTGCGTTTACATTACACCCCTGTTTAAGTTTCAATAACATCCCTGAATCAGCGACACAACAATGCTAACATCCTTCGTGATAATAAACGGCTCTCCATCAGTCTACTAACACCCCCTCCACCATCAATTCCTCACCTTCTATTAATGATAGAATCTTTGGTTTGAATAAAATTGTTTCGTTCGGAAACTGTTTTCCTGTTCTGCTCACAGTAGGTATGAGAATAGGTCGCGTTATGGAGAGCTGGGATCGCCTCCTTCATTTCTGTCCAATAAAACAAAAAAATAAACGTTCACCAACAAAAAGAATCATTAATTCGTAGAAGCCATTTTTCCTCGTTGACACGCCTTAATTTCGACAAAGAAACTTGCCACAAAAGGGGCATTTTGCGACTCGTCCGTTAATTTGACGCCCCGGCGCAATTGCGCTGTTTGGCGTGCCGTTTCGGCGAGCGTGCTTGCTGCCGCCGCCGCCGCTACGCCCTCTTCGTGTGGCGTTGGCGCGGAGAGACAAGTGGCATTGTGCTGCACAGGAGCTGGCTCGCAACGAGGTGGCGCTGCTGGAGCGGCGCGCGGAGGAGGCGGAGGAGGAGGTGAAGATGGCCACGGCCAAGGTCAACTACCTGCAGGGCCTCTACCAGCAACAGGACCAGCTGCTCGGTGAGAACTATGCAATGACTGCACTAGTAATATTAATAGTGTTAATAATAATGATAATGATAATAACAACGATTATTATGTTAATAATATTCAAAATAATAATAAAATAATTTAGCCCGAATATACCGACATAGCTTTTTATTTCTCAAATATCAAATTTAAAGCGCTTCACGCCGAGGTCGCTAACCCTAAAAAGTCATAGCTGCTTGTGCCTGAAGGACCGCGGGTTCGGGGCATGAAAATGTGTGGGTCTGTGTGGTTGTAATTAACCATTCATCCTTCATCATCATCATTTCATACCTCACCCCAAGTGTTAACAACCTTGTGGTGGAAAAGTGGATTCAGTGTAGAAATACTGATCCTCTCAAAAAAAGGCACGTGCATTTACTTCAGGAAATATATTACTGGACCTCGGTGGTTCCAGTTCCACTTTCGCGTGGTCTTAAGATGACGGATTCGTCACCAAAAAGAAAATAATAATAATAATAATAATAATAATAATAATAATAATAATAATAATAATAATAATAATAATAATAATAATTATTATTATTATTATTATTATTATTATTATTATTATTATTATAACAATAATAATAATAATAAGTTTAGGCCATTCTTTTACGTATGACAAATTCACAAAGAGGATATCATACATTTGTCAGGTCTACAAAAAGCGAAGCACATTTGTCAATGATGATTACTTTAAGTTTCTGATGCTAATGATAACTGAAGCTCTGCCTTTTGTTTTCAACAGTAACTGATTTCTAAATTCTCACGTCCCATGCTTACTGGTATGTAGAGAAGAAGGAACTGGCTCACCGCGAACTATGGTATAAACATAATGTAGTAAGAACTCTGAGATCAGAGTAAAATTAACAATGAAAATCACCTTTTTCAGCGGCAATTATCATATATTTACCGCAACTCTTCTCGTCAAAATTTCATATAATTTATAATTAATTTTCTGTCACGTATACATTGATAGCAATTCGTCTTAGAACTTGAACATCCATAGTTGAAGATCTGTGCAAAATCGTTGCTATATTCAGCAATATATTGGAGTTATCTACTGCCAAAACCGAAGGTATTGAGAAGGTTGCTTTTAAAATAGTTGTATTAACGTAACATTATAACTCTATATAGTCATTTAAGACTCTAGACAGCGGAGACGAGAAGCAAACTAGTTCCTCATTCTGCAATCTTGTCAAATATGAATTGATAATAAGGATTATTTCTACTTCGGAAAAGATTCGAAGAGGCATCTCTGCCTGCAACCCTCTCTCTCTCTCTCTCTCTCTCTCTCTCTCTCTCTCTAAACCAGCCACTCCAAAAGTGGTCGATATCGACTCCCTGGGATCAATTTTAACTTTCCTACTTGTTAAGAGTCCACACAAAATTTGGAGGTGAACGACAGCTAAATATTGACTCCTCTCGATTCAGAATACTTATTAAATATTTCGAAAACAAATATTCAAAATGATTGTTTTTTAAAATTAATTATTGAGACGGGGTTCTCAAGTGAAATTACAAACAATCCATGGAATGCTTTTTAATTTATTTTTATAGATAAATTGTATTCACCTATAATGTCAATGGTATCCTTATTTCATTTTTTATACTTTAACTGAACAAATGCCTCCGTGAGTCATTGTATTGTTGTAACGCTATACCACGCCCAGTTTTTTTCAAATTTGACGTTTTTATTTTACTATTGTTTATTTCCTTATATGTTATTATTGGGCTTATTTAGATAAACATATGTACCTAAATCACTTGTACCTGAAGGTGAAGTCACACCTGACAGCAAAACATCTTGAAGTTAAAAGCAATGATACCAATAAAAAATTTAAAAAATATTTTCTAAAACAGTTTTATTAATTTATTCAATTTAGTTTACAAGTATAATATGCTAATTAATTAGAGAAAACTTTGGAAGCACAGAGAAGCTAGTAAAGCTATAAAGAGCTAGCAAAGAATTTTATTTGGATCGAAGGAAAACCATAGTGTTCTGATGATATCAACGAGGTTGTACTATTGAACAATGTTTGTAAGCAAATGTAGCTCATTTCTTAGCTTTGAAGAAGCAGAAATAAATTTCGGAAACTACATGAAGCTACAACCAATAATTTTCTGGATTAAAGTCCGTTAATTGGTGAGCAGTTTTAAAATTAGTTCAGTGACAATGTACGCCATACCAACCATAGCAAGTGTTCCGCTAATTGTAAATTTAATATATCGATTTTGTAAAAGTGTGGCTTATCTTACCAACAAACTTTGTTTATTTGCGCTGCAGTCGCAAAATATAGAAATATGAACTATATATATTTACTAATATATTTACAAATAAGAAAAAACAATACTTTTTATTCAGTCCCTAACGCATGCAGAATGAATTTTTACACACACATATGTGTGTGTATGTATTCACATATAGATATCTATAAACTGCCTAAAGCTTACTACACAAACATAGATGCATACTGTCACAAATGTATACTATAATATATAAATATAATGTGATTGTCACATATTAATTATTTTAGAACCCAAGAATTGTTTTCTCTTTTTCGACAATCAAAGTATACAATTTTCAAAACATGTTGCATTGTTCGAATATTCTTAAACACGGCGTTTCGCGTAATAATTTTATGCATCATCAGGTGTGAACAAAATATATATGGCACATTAACATCCGTCTTGAAATTATGTGTGTCTTCTTCACATTTAAGAAGGGCTTCGGGTAACAAGGGAAGGTAACAAGATGAAACACACTTCAACCAAAATCGAAATATTAACATTTACGAACAGCGCGAGGCTTGCCGTAACTGGTGTGACTAATAGTGTTCCTAATCCTAGCCATTCAATTGTTTCTGGCAAGTTTGGAAGTGATGTGCATTAATAGAGAATACTAGGGTCCTGATTTGAAGGTTACAAGTTACTCGACGATCGATTTGTACAGCGTTCGACTGTTTCAAAAGTGAAGCGTTTCTGCGGCAATTGTAGTACTTTTAGAACGATAAGAACGCATCAACCAATATCTTCCAGCAGAAAGATAGAGCGCTCAACCATTTCCAAATCGCTCGCGACAGCAAACACTGGCTGTTTGCTTTGGTCTCACGTCATCGACCGCGATGTCACGTCACCCGCCAAACGCGCAATCGCAATCGCAAACGAATTGGATCGCACCTTAGGTACATGCGTTTGAAACAAGCTGCATGCAAATTCGAGAAAATGTTATTTTTACTTCCACTAATATACATGCATTTAGAGACACATAAATATTTAAGTTTGATTCACACACTAAAAACTTAATTTTGTAATATTTTTTTCACTAAAATTATTGTAATAATTATAGACTATTTAATATTTTCCAATCATTGATGTAACTAATCTAAAACCGTGGTATAAGTCTTCAACGTATGTGTTGTAAGAAAAATATCAATTATTTATTTAATGAGTTAAATTTGATTCGTTCAAGAATTCTAAAAACCAATTTATTCTTCTATTTAACATTATTCTTTTTAACAGCATCACCTCATGTTTACCTTGCCTGTGAATAGAATCCTGAATATAAATACATTTTTGACAATATGAATAAATTATTCATTCTACACAGCGTACAACACATCCTAGATACGTAACACATGTCATGTATTAAGTGTTTTATCACATGCTCTTGAGTGTGTGAATTATGTGTAAGCTTATGAGTAGCTTGACAAGGTTTAAATGACGATGTTACGCATTCTAATTCTCAGTTAGATGTCTGGAAAGAGCCATGGTGTTTCTTGTACAGTGCACGAACACTTATTCAAAGAAAGTGAAAGAAATAAAGTGCTATAGCTTTGTGAAGATTATAGTTGGGAGGAGAATCCAGAAACGCGTGACGTGGGATGAATGAAATGAAGAAAGCTGACAGGAAACAATAAGGGGCTTTTATCTCCCGCTAAGAATACGTTCACTTCCAGAGCGTGACAGTGACAGAAAGATCGCAAAAACACAAAAGATAAAAGCTTGTGTAAGTTTCAAGGAGCGGCTTTTCTTACCTGAATTTATGAAGCGTCATACGTAAAACAAATAATTTCAAAAGCATTATTGCTGTATATTAAGAGTAGGTCATTTTCAATAAGGTACAATGAAGGTTTTTTTCAGATACTTATCATTTTGGAGCGTAAAAAGCAATCAAGTTTTATTTCTTTTATCTTCTTATTTATTTGTTTACTTAATGTTAAAATACAGTAAAAACTGGATGTGGTATTTGGGACGTAGAGAAGCTACACTTAGTATTGAGAAACAAGGCAAGGGACAAATTTGAGCTAGTGATCAAAAAGGGAAAACAATAAGATTCGTACAATTAGTAATTTACTTTTAATTCGTATGTAATTTATTCGTAATTCGTAATTCAGAAGCTGAGTATGATACTTGGAATATTCTTGTAGTCGTCTATAAAACAAAGGGAAGCTAATGTTTAGTACCATTAACATTAATTTTCTTTTTTGAAAATCTCTGATAATCTCTAACTATAAAAACAGAGAGCAGAAAAGGTTTCACCTGGCATTTGAACTTGTCTCTCGATTTTTGTTTTTGTAATGTCATCTGGTAATGAGCTGTAACGTACAAGTATTGCATGGGAATATTGTGGTAGTGGGCTGATAACTTCTTCAAATATTTTAATTATAAATATCTACAGTGTATAAAAGAAGGTGCCCTTCGACAAAAAACTCTGATTTGTAAATGAATAGGCTAAGCATTGCGGGATTCCAGGCTTAATAAGAAGAGGGTTTCAGGAACCACCTAGATAGATTTTGCTAGTTATTCGTACCATTATTCACTGTAATTGAAATTTTCTTACCATAGTACTCAGTGAACGTCTCTACATCTATTTTATTTGTAAGCATATTTAATATATTTTTAAATTGTTTTTATATTTCATAAAATTTAAAAATTCACGTAAACGTACGTCAAACATTTTATTAAATATTCACAATATTTTCAGTTTATCAGATGTATATCGAATGAAAAAATGTTATGGGGGAACTGTGTACCTATTGCTATTAGTTAAAGTGATTTGCAAGTAATAATGAACAATCAATTTAATTAATTTCCTAGCGCTCCCTTGTGTGATATTCCCACCGTTATTTTACTTTTTTATGGAAAAAGACAAAGAAATAGGCGTTCAACCACGCACAGTTATACGCCTGTAATGCCTGTACTCTCGAAGATAATGGTATTGCTTGGCTTTTACTGTAAGTATGCGAAGTTCCAAGTGCTTTGCTCCAACACATTTCCCGCATAATATTAAAATCGATATCATTCGAGGCCATTGCGAAGGCGTTTTGTTTGTTCAGTAAAAATACAATGACGTCTGTTTTGGGATTTGGTTTTGGGTTTTGTTTTGGGCGTGACACGACTCAAAATAGAAACAACAGGTCATCGATATTGAACCATAGCAATGGAAAGGTCGCCCTCAAAAATCGACTCGTTATACTGTTATTCTTCGTATACTTGTGTTAGAAAAGCATCAAACTCACATTCATTTTCCTTCGACTATTTTTGTTTTCTGAGTTTGGATTTGTCAAATTGTTTTAGTTGACAAGACATACAATTAATAGTCCTTGCGAGAAAAGTTTTATTACTTAAAAATGATCAGGTAGAGATACAATTGGTTATATGTTTTTCTGCCTTCTGTTTTTTTGCCATCCCGTTTGATATAAAGAAATTATACGTTCATCTTTTCACATGAAAAATATTAGATTCGGGAAGTTTCTCTAGAGTAGGTGTTATAGAAAACAGTTCAAATCCCCAAAGCTTCGGTGTTTTATTAATCCACTCATGGGACTATTACAATAATTATAACGTAGTATATATGGTAAAGAGAAAAAGCACCTCTATCCAAGTTACCACATTCAAACAAAACAAATATTATTTTAGCCTTATATAATTTGTAGTGACATAGATAGCATCAAACGTAAAAGTTATGCCAAAAAAAGTTGAGCGTACGGGTGATTGGGGAGAAGGACATTAAGGTCATCTTTCTTAAGGTCAGCCTTGATGTTACTATGTTACACTACAGAAGTATCGCGTAGAGGTCCGAAGTGAATGACGCGTTCTCAATGAGCGATAGCTTACGTAGGTTAGGTGGTGAATTTGTTAAATTAATGTAGTGGGATCAAATGCAAGTAAGGTAAGTGCAATTAAAATACAATTTTTAACGTTGAATTGTGAACTTTATAATATTTATTTACAAATATATGAAATGAAATCAAAATTTACTCTCTAACCGAAAGCCACTCGCATACGGAGTTTTGCCTGCAGATGACCAGACGTAATATGTTTATATTTATAGAGATGTTAACTACTGCTTGATGAAAACCCCAGTCATGTGAGGCTGATACATTGCAAAAAACGTAATTGGTAATTAGTAATAATATTAATTGTAAATAGATATTTTATCCATTTTTACTAACGCTACAGTGATTTACTAGTAGCAACAGAGTCTTAGTTTTACTTTGGTCGTTAAGATTAATCTGCAATAGTAACGAATATAAAGTGAACAAAGACGCCAAGAATGATATGAATGAAAGTTCAAG